AAGTCGGACACGACTTAATGACTGAACAACAACAACAACAACAATCCTTTAATTTTGACAAAATTGGCAAGATGTCTACTAGGGTAGAGCATTTGGAAATTTTTAAGAAGTGTTTTCAGCATCATGGAATCATAGCAGCTATCTGCTATGCATTAAAGCAATCCAACTTTTTTCAGGTTCCACACATGCCTCAAATAAATACACCGCGGCTGTAAGAGCTACATTAACTTTAATGACCCCCTTCTTACTCATTTATCAAGATTTGCACCTCCTGAGGGTAAGCAATATCTTAGGAGATTCTCAGGCATGGAGCTTCTCCCTAAAATAGCATGACAAAAATCTGTGGCCTTAGGCCCACATGCAGGCTTTGGCCTAATTTAGATCTCTGTCCTTGAAGGTTACTGGAAGTGGGGGAAAAGCGGGAGGAAGATACAAGAATAGAGAAAGATGGGACCTCAGAAAGATTAAAAGGCTGTTAGATGGATAAATAAAGGTACCAGAAAAAAGACAGTAGGCACCACTCCCCATTTTTGGAACTGTCCACTTCTTTCTTGAGCCACAACAGCCATTATCCTGCAGCCTCCAATACATTAACCCCCATCCCAGGCTGTGAACCCTACCATGCACAAAATTGTCCACCCCTGCCATACTACTAAATTGTCTCTTTGTCTCTTATACTTCTCCGTGCAAACATAACATAGAAAATAAAACAAATCTGTATCTTCTGATTGATTCTTGCCTCCCCAGTCCCAGGTATGTAACTCCTATATGCCTAATAAGGGAAAGTCCCTTAACTGACATAGATAACTTCTCTCTATCAAAAATGTGCTTAAGGACTGAAAAGTCCATCAGTATGCTGATGATACTCAATTGTACATCTCCGCTTCTGGTGACTTAAGCGATCCTATCTCAGTGTCTGGAGGCTGTGAGGATCTGGATGGGGAACAACAGACTTCAACTGAACCCTGGCAAGACTGAGTGGATTTGGGTTTTGAGCCCCTCTGGTTCCAGGAGTTTACCATCTTTGATACTGGATGGGGTCGCACTGCCCCAAACAGACCCTGTGCGCAATCTGGGGGTCCCCCTGGACTCATGACTCCTGCTCAAAGAGCAGGTGGCAGTCGTGGCTAGGAGGGCCTTTGCACAACTTCATATTGTGCATCAGTTGCACCCATTCCTAGATCAGAGGGACCTACTCACAGTCACTCATGCCCTGGTCCCCTCCCGATTAGACTACTGCAATGAGCTCTACATGGGGCTGCCATGGAAGAGTATCTGGAAACTTCAGCTGGTGCAAAAGGCAGTGGCGC